TTGCTTTCTGTTGAAAACTGTTAGGGAAATGAAGGGAAAACATCAATAGCGATTGCTGATCAGTTCCTAATAAAACAACACTGGAGTAAGTTAAGTTTCACAGATCTTTGTGTGTTTTCCCACTGATTTAATGGAGTCAGGATTTTACACAAAGAGGAGCCAGGCCTGAATAAAAGGAATTTTTTGTCCACCTGCCAGGGTTCTTTGTTACACATATGAAGGATCCTTACTTTGCGTATATGTAGGTGCCATAAAATACCAATTCTATGAAATCAGCATTAAGTTTGTTCCATGTGATCAAAGCAATGAATATCAGTTATCCCAGTTATAGCAAAATGTACAGGCAAATACTATTTCACATTTTACTATTTCAGGTAACCTTTCAGCAACCAAATGTTGGCCTTATTTGCCTTCGCCAACATGATCTAACTTTGTAGCTACTCCTGCTTTGAGAAGGGGTGTTGGCCTAGAGGTCAGGGAAGGACTCCAAAGGTCCCTTCCAACCTAAATTATACAGGGATTCTGTTTACAAATCTTCACTACCATTACACAAAAGCATAACTGCCCACAAATACGTAAACCATCTGTTCCATTTCTCTTATTTCTGTTGGAATTAATTCATCCTTAATTATAATCTTGTTCTTTACAAGCATCTTCGCATTCCACATGTACTCACTAACAGGTGTTTTCATTCGGGTGCCATTAGGCAATGACTCATTGTGTGTTGTCTGACAATGACGTTTAAAATGGGGGAGTACTGCTGGAGGATCTTTGGAATTGGAAATATGTTTGCTGAGCTCTTCCCCTTCCAATTTAGACTGGTCCATTCTGCCGAGTGATGATGTAACTTGAAGCATTAGATAACAATGTGGAAAACAATATGCCAGAGGAGGTAATTCCTTTTTTATTGTATCTGTTTTGACATTCCATCCTACCAATTATTTTTAATGTTTGGATTCAGATTCATTATTTATAGACATACTAATAGCAAAGTTAGCATTCACCTCAGGTTTACTTTATTTGTTCAGGAGTTACACTATAGCTCATGTATTTACCTACCACCAAGTTCATCTCAGTAGCAGAGCCTCACTTGCCTATAAAACTATTGTCTTTATAATCTCACACAGATTTTACAACGTATCTTGCTGCATCTGTGTCTGGTAACTACATCAGCAGTTTGCTGAGATGTTTAAATAGGAAGATACTCTAAATAGCAAGTTATCTCACTTTCTAACTTACTGTGTTTTATTCTCTACTTAGCGTCTTGTATCTAGATCCAGCAAAAGACTTGGGCATTCGATGGTGTTCAATTTTCAGCCTAAGGAGTGGAATCCATATGCCTGAGTCAGGTGCCTATGTTCCTTATACTATACATGAGAGAATAACGCAAAAGTAAATGCTTAATCTGTTTGGTAGCTGTCATTAGTAATCAACAGAATGATGATTATGCTGTCTAGCTGGCCGATGGTGTCCTTTAAGAGCTGTAGCAGTAGAGGTTAAGTAAGACCTCAGGAGGTAAGCACAGGCAGCGTCAAGAATGGGTCACATCCTCATTGTATACACACTATCAGTATTATTGCTAATAGCAGTGCTGGCAGGCTTCTTCCTGCTCATGAGAAAAAAACGAGTGGGAGCAGTTGTGCCAGTGGATGTTTCTGGGCCTTTTTCTTTTCAATACAAGTTTGCATTATCTTTAGTGATGCTGCTACAATGATCAGTCAAACCCATCAGCACAACCGAAACAACCCTTTCCTATAGAAGAACTCTGAGGAGCTCTTAGGTGGAAAGGGCAAAGAATAAACATGTATTTTTCCTTGATTTCCTGTAGGG